GGGACACGGCCACCCCAAGCCAGCCACACCTACCAGTGGTGGTGGGTGGTGAGGATGGCCCTGAGCACCACGTCCTCCTTCTTGATGATCTCCAGCAGCTGAAAGGGACCCAGGGCAGCGGTGAGCGGGCACAGGAGGTAAAACACACCCCATGGCCATGACGGGACCTGTCCTGTGGGCACCGGGCAGAGGAACCCTCCGCATCCCCGTGCTGGGGAGCCATAGGATGAGGGGGGGACAAAGGCCGTGAAGAGCGGAGCAGAAGGATGGGAACACGCCGATTCTATGGGAATGGTGACATTTATGGCCGGTGCTCTCTCAGTGGAGGCACAGAGAAATGCACAGGGTCACTGCCGCAGCAGGGACATGGTGGCCGTGCCACCCACCCTGGCCACGGCGAGGGCCACACGGAATTGCCAACCCCGGCACGGCTGCCAGGAGCTCCGAACGCCAACTTCACATTCATGGAACAAACCTTGAGAGGAAGGAAATGTCCGAGCCAGCAGCGAACGCTTAAAACCCGCGACAGCGCCTGCAGGCTGAAGGGGTGGCACAAGGGGACACCGGGCACAGGGACACGGGGCGAGCCCGGCCGCTGCCTTCCCGGCTCCTGGACAACGGGACCGGACACGGGGCTGTTCGGGGTTATCCTCGCCTGCTGTGGGGTCTGCAGRGCTCGGGCTGCGGCACGGGGAGCGCTGAGGGGACAGCCGGGGGCCGGGGGGACACGGAGCGCTCCGCACCCCCATTGCTGAGGGACGAACGGGGCCTGTCCCGCCGGGATGCTGCACCGGCCCACGGACACACCGCCCCGGGACCCGCCACCCCCGCTGCGGGACCCGCCACCCCCGAGGGGGCCGCTCACCCTTTTGGGGACCGCGGCGTCCACGGCCACGGCGTCGCGGGTGCTCTCCTCGATGACCAGGTACATGTAGTTGTCCTCCAGCACGGAGATCACCTTCACCTTCATGGCCCCGCCCGCGGACACGGCTCCCCGGGAGTGAGCGGCGGGGAGGGCACAGCCCCGGCCCCAGGCACGGAGCCGCCGTGTCCCCGGCGCACCCCGGCGCTCGCTGCGGGCGGGCCCGGCCGCGGGCAGCCCGTTCCGCCCCCGCCCGTGGCTGCGGGGCGGGTCACGCAGCGTGGGGCGGGGAGAGCCCGCACGGCCCCGGCTCCGGCCGCGCCCCCTGCCCGGCGCTGCGGCTCCAGCGGGGGGACGGGGGACAGGGGACAACCCGTGTGTCACCGCGGGGACCCACAGCGGATCCTGACACCCTCGGGGGCTGCGGGAATTGGGGGGGTCCCCCAGCCCAGTCCCCAAAATCAGCCGAGCTCCCATTGCCGTGGGGTACAAGGGGAGCGGCGGGAGACAGGGGGACCAAAGGCACGGGGGGGGTGCAGGAACAGAGCCGAGCTCCGGTGCTTTTCTCAGCCAGACAAAAATGCTRAGGGGCAGGGCTGCTCCTGGCCCGTACATGGAATTGATGAGGTTGGAAAAGCCTTTTCCGGGAAGAARTGTTCCCTCCCCTGGCCCAGCCTGAGGCCGTTCCCTCTCCTCCTGTCCCTGTTCCCTGGAGCACAGCCCGACCCCCCCGGCTGTCCCCTCCTGTCAGGGAGTTGTGCAGAGCCACAAGGTCCCCCCTGATCCCCCTTTGCTCCAGGCTCAGCCCCTTTCCCAGCTCCCTCAGCCCCTCCTGGGGCTCCAGGCCCTTCCCCAGCTCCATTCCCTTCCCTGAACACGCTCCAGAGCCCCTCCATGTCCTTTCAGCCATGAAGGTCCCAAATGCCGCTGATGAGGAGGGAATGGGGCTCACCGGTAAAAAACGAGGACTGAACCTTTCTTCTTTCACAAAAACACAGCTGTCACAAGACCTTGCCCCAAAATGCCACCTGCTCAACCCAGGTTTAGGTAGAAAGAAATTTTCAGTTGGTTGACTTCCATCTCTAGTACAAAACCAATAAAGCAACACATTTGTGAGTTCAAGAACACCCAAARTGCTCCATTTCCAGCCGTTTTTTATTTCCCCTCTGTCCCAGCCATCAGTACAGTCACAGTCTGGTGCAGCAGCACAGTGTTCCAGGAAGCAGAAAAGCTTTAGGTACCACTTTTCTTTCTGAACTACATAAAATKCAGCACTGTAAAGCAAAACAAGACCTGGTGCCAGCCCACATCCCTGCTCACGTGGGGACAGGGAACAACTGCTCACCTGCCACGTTACTCACACGATGCTGGAGGGGTCTCACTGCTGCTCAGAGGGACAGTCACTCACCAGGAGTGGCTGCTTCTCAGGATTCTGAGCCACCAGACAAAGCCCTGCTCCGTTTGTGGCGCTGGCACAGGTCACACACARGTCACAAGAAAGAGCAGGGAGCAGGTTCATGCAAACAGGCTTGGGACTGGAAGGGTATAAGCAGTGCAATGCCTGGGGAAGTCCCTGCTGCCCATGCCAAGGAGAAGAGAGAAGCTGGATGGCCCCAMGAGCCATTCCCAGAGCCAGACCACCCCTTGCAGCTCCCAAATGCCACCCTGAACCAGCATGGGCAGAGTAGGTMTGTCCTGGAATTGGTTTTAGCGGAGCCAGAAGCGACACTCAGAACGCTGAAGTAGCAGCATGGAAGAAACATGGAAATCTCCTCCTCCTGTGTTTGGTCTCTGCTTCCAACAAAGACAGCTCAGTCCCACCTTCTGCATCCACATCAGGCCCCTGCAAAAACAACAGGAGCTTCTTCCTAAACCTCCAGGTCTGATCCTTCCCAGCCCAACCAGTCTCACACCAACACTTGCACAATGATCTGCAGGTGACATGTGACAGCTTCAGACAGCGAGAGGAGGATAAATATTCTTCATCAATATATAAATATGCTGTAGAACATCTCAACAAGGGCAAAGTGCTTTTTTTTTTTCCTCAATTTAAACAAAATAAAAACCTAAATAAGACTGTCTCAACCACAACARAAGATTTGACTCCTAAACATCTGAACGGTCTAACTGACAATTGAACTGACATTAAAGTGATGCAGGCAGTGCTCAGTCCTTGGGGACTCGGAAGTTGTCTTTCTCTTTCCTGATGGCCCCCATGGTCCGGATGGGATCGCTCTCCCCGGCGTGTTCCTGGACTGTCTTCTCCCTGCCRGGAGGGAAGAACAGGGACAGGATGAATTCCCAGCTGTGGAGTCACCGGGATTAGGTTTCAAGGCTGCATTCCAGGATCAGAGATTAGGCCCAGTCTGAAGGCTCAGGGKCAGGAGGAAATTGCAAACACTTGTGCCCCAACAGCACCTTCTGCTRGGCCAGACCTGGCTGGATGAAGAACAGGACACAACAAAGCCTGTTCTGATTTGGGCAGAGATGCTCAGCACAGCCCTCAAACCCAGGAACCTTGTGCCAGGACAGCCAGTGACAGTCTTGGTGGCATCCCAACAGGAATAGGGGTGGCAGGAGAGCAATTCCCAGGCACAGCTCTTCTCTGGACCCCTCCTCCTCCTGACACAGCCCCACCCCAGCCCTCAGCGCTCCCCACCTCACTCGCATGAAGGGGTTGTAGGTGAACTCCTCGGCGATGGTGGAGGGGATGGTGGGCTCTCCGCTGTCATACTGGGCCTGCAACAAGAGACACAGTGCTGTTTCACCAGCAATTCTGGGGAACAAGGAATGCCCTGCACAGAACAGGGCGTTTCCAGAGAGGGAATATATCTGCCCCAAACAGCAAACTGCCTTCTCTGGGCACAGCCAAATTCCGTTCCCCTGGAACACAACACTCTGCAGCTCCTGGCTCTTAACTCCCTGTTTCTCCCCAGAATTTCCTGCTCTCCTCCATCTCCTCAGCAAGGCTCTCTCCAGGAAAGCAGCAAGYCCAAGGAAAGGATGAGCAGCTTACCTTGGCCCACGCCAGCTTCTCMTGGATACTGGTGTTATTGGGCTCCACGTGCCGAGCAAACTTGAGATTGTTGATGGTGTACTCGTGGCCACAGTAAACTCTCTGGGAAAAGGAAGGGACAGTGACCCTGGGGGACTCCAAAGGCGCCAAGGGGCAGTGCCACGTGCCATCAGCACAACAAAGCCAACCCAACACCCTCCATTGGAGACAAGAGATAAGCTGCTGGTTTAACAGATGGAAGAGCCCCATGTCCCATCCTTTAATAATCAGCCCCTGCCCTTTCCCCACAAAGCACACACACATTTGGGGCTGGCATTCCCTTCCCAGAGCACTGCAGCTATCCAGCATTAGAGCTCATAGGTAAGGACTCATTCCTCCCACTCACGAGAGTCCAACAGCACTCTCAGGGAGTGCCTGTGATTGTGTGGAGGTTTGGGCTGGGTCACTCACACGACAGCAGATTTTTGTACCGTTTGGGGGTCCAGGCTGCCCAGAATCTCAATCAATGCCTTGTACATCTCATCTGGGGTGCCCTCGAAGAACTTCCCGCAGCCGGCCACGAACARGGTGTCACCTGCAGGGGTGACAGGGCATCAGGGCCACGCCAGGCTCTGCACACCCAGCTCCGTTCTGCCATCCTCCTCAGCACAGCAGCATGGGGACAGCCAAGCTGGGCCCTTTGGTGCCACATCAACACCCAAACRTGAAGCAGGAAACTCCAGAGCCTCRCCAGGCACACCCTGCCAGCACCTCCCAAGCTGTGGGCAGCCCCTGTGCCCTCCTGTCCCTTCCAAAGGGGACAAGGAACACTTGCTCTCTGGTGTGAAGTTGAGCAAAGACGAGTCACTCCTGTTTTCTCCCTAGTGCTCTCTCAAACCTTGTTTAAGCCCTTTCTCTTCCCTGCAGGAGCTGGTGTGAGCTCAGGGAYGAGGCACAGCCTCAGGGAAGGGAAATCCCGCTCCCCAAAGCAGGATCCAGACTCTGGCCATGCATCAGTGACTCTCCTGCTCTCTCCTCTCTCTGCTGCTACATGAGCACAGATTTATGGAAAACCAACAGGGTTTGGGAGCAGCCAGTTTGGCCTGAGACAGAAAAGCAACAGCTCTTTTCTCCAGGACAAAAGTGCCAGATGTAGGACTCATCCAGGGCTCACTCTTGGTGTTCCTTGCAGGGTGTCCAGCCCCGCTTTACAAACCCAGAGGGGTTTTCCATTTCCACCTACAATTCCTACTTGGAAAAGGGGGGCAAGGTGTGGMTGCTCAGCAGTCACCCTGGCAGGAAGGGAAGGATGCACACCCAGAGTCAGAAATGCCCAGGCAGAGGGGGAGTTGCTGTTTTAGCAAGGGAACCTCCCAATTCCTCACCTGTAAAAACTGCAGGGGGCTCGGAGCTATTTGGCTTTGTCACATAATAACAGATGTGTCCCGAGGTGTGACAYGGCGTGCTCAGGCATTTCACATTTAGGGATCCCACCTGGGAAGAAGGCAGAACACTACAGCTGAAGCTGCTGTTTGCTGGCAATTGCAAGGGTTAGGAAAGAATTGCAACTCTTGCCGTGCTCCAGTGGTCCTAAATGTGCCCCAGTCTGGCCAGGAGGCAGSAGCTCTGCTCCTGGGAGAGCCCAGTGAGGGAGGTCTGGGGCAGGGACAGGGAAAGGAGCTGTTTCCCCTCCAAGCAGGTGTCCTGACAAAGRGAACTGCCAGATCCTTTCATTGCCATGCAGAGGGACTCAAAGCCGGGTTGGCAGCAAGAGCCAACAGACCCAGAGCAACACGGAATCCTAAACAAAGCTAATCGAGCGTGAAAACAGCTCCAAACAAAAATGAAGCTGAAGGGGAGAAGTGGATGGCACTGAGAAGAAGGGAAGGGTTAAACACAGCCCCACGTGCCCACCTTGCCAGTACTCCTGTGCTCCCTCCTCGCTGGGCCCCTCCAAAGGGGCACCCAAGGCCAGCAGTGCCACTCACGCCTGCCTGCACCTTTCACAGCCATTCGTGTCACCTGCCAGCCCTCCTGTAAACAAACAGCCTGCTCCCAGCCGGGCCTGCTGCTCCCAGCCAGGAAAAGCCACGCAGGCAGCTGGCACTGCTGGCACGCTGTGCTCTCACCCCGCGTTCCAGCCGGCATTCCCACAGGAAAATTGGGTTTGTTCAGTGCTCACCACGCTCCTGGCAGAGCACAATCCCTGTCCTGTCACACCATCCCTGTCACACACCATCCCTGCCCTGTCACACACCATCCCTGTCCTGTCACACACCATCCCTGTCACATCACACCATCCCTGCCCTGTCACACATCTGCTCTGACCCTCCCCAGCTAAGGCAGATGGCAGGAGCACAGGGGTCACAGTTCCGGAGAAGGGGGAAGTTGCATTTCAACAATCTGCCGCATCCAAGGGGTGCTCAAAGGTCCTGGGGCTGCCCAGCTCAGGTGGGAACACACCTGTGCAGCTGTGGCACMAAGAGGGRATGCCCAGAGTCCTGCAGGTCCCTCCCCTTACCTTGAGAGCTGTCAGGTGGGACACTTTCTGTGTCAGGGCCCCCACCCTGCCATCTCCCCCATACACGCGCAGCCCCGGCTCCATCTTCACCAGCTTCTCATTGCCTCCAGCATGGTCCCTGGGACATGAAAAAAACGGGATTTGGGGAAGGAATGAACACCATTTTATGGTCATTGGTAATGCAGTGGTGAGCTCCAGGTGACCCTTTCTGATGCACCCTCTCCCAGGATCTAACACTTCTCATGTCTGAGGACAAGCGACATCAACACGAGTGCAGAACATTTCTCCAGTAATGAGGGCAGTGAGAGGAGGGAACAATCCCTGACAAGWCCATCCCCAGCTGGGAAACAGCAGCCTTAGGGGTCACAGTAACCTCTGCAGTAACCGGGGCAGGGAGGAATGGGGAAAGTGGGAAATGTGCAATCCAGCATCCCACAGAACACCACAGAGCAGGCACACGGATATCCCACAGAGCTAAGTGGGAAATGTGCAATCCAGCATCCCACAGAACACCACAGAGCAGGCACACAGATATCCCACAGCTCAGCACTGACTGGTGCTGCTGGTTTGTCCAGCTCAGGGCTGATTGTTCCACTCTGCTGCCTCAGAAGTGGCTCCACTCTGACCCACAGAGAGGTTACTCAGGTTCAGCAGTGCTACAGCAAAACATTCACTGTACACCCCTGGCAGAGCTGATTTGCTCACAAGTGCTGAGTGCAGGACGCCTGWTGGGCATGTCGTGGCACCTCAGCACACACGTGCTCCCTCCCACACCCCACAGTCGCCTTCACACCCAGTTTTTGCATTGGCTCCCTGGAAAAATCAGTATTTTACAGGTTACAGAGCTCATGGACTGGTCAGAGCAAGCTCTGATCCTCCTCACCCTGAGCTGCTGCTCAGAGATCACCTCAATCCAGAAGAGCAGCAGCTCCTGCTGTGTTTGTGAGAGGGATCCAGGGCAGGGGCAGTTACCAGTGGTGATGGGTGGTCAGCACAGTGGTCAGCTTCACGCCGTGCTTCCTGACTGCATCCAACACCTGCAGGAGGGACAGAAGGAGAGTCACAGCTCCCACAGAATGAGCTGCCAGCACCCCAGTGTCACCTGGACATAAGAGCTACACCAGCAGCTCTGCAGGGAGCCCATCCCTACTCAGGCTGGAGTTATAGGGCAGGACATGAGGTCTCTGCTCCTGCCAAGCCCTCAACCCCATTTCCTCTTTTCTGCCCTACATTAAATTAAGGCCAAAATCCAAAACCAGGCCAGTAACCCCTGGAGAGAGTGAGTGATAGAGGAACCCCTGGAGGGAATGAGAGACACAGGAACCCCTGGAGGGAATGAGAGACACAGTAACCCCTGGAATGAGCCCTGGCTGTCCCTGCTGTGCACAGCCAGTAATTCCTGCCTTTCCCCCAGGCCCCAGTCAGCGTGAGATTCGTTCCCTGCTGGCTGCACCCCTGGAAGGCCATCCCAGAGCCAAGGGAACATTACCTTCTGGGGCTGCACGGGGTCCACGATGGCAGCCTCCCTGGTGTCCTGGTCGATGAGCAGGTACATGTAGTTGTCAGTGAGGGCTGGCAGGATTTCCACCTTCATGTCGGCCTGGCTGACTGTCCTGGACTCTCTCAGCTCGTGCTCCGTGTGCAGGAATTTAGCTCGCAGCTGTGCTGGACCTGGGCACCCCAAAACAGCCAAATGTGAGCCCTGGGAGGGGAACAGGTGGGCAGAGCACGGCAGGTCCCCCTGCTCACACAAGGTGCTTCCTCCACACAAAGCCTTGTGCCCCTCACGGCTCCAGGTGCTCCACAACTGCCCCAGAAGGACAGGACACTCTGCTTTCCATGCTCTGTGCTTGGATCAGAGAAGAGACTCCAAGGGGCAGGAAAGCAGAAGGGAGAGGGAACAACTGGCCAAAGGTCAGCCTGGGACAGTGACTATGCAAAAAAAACCACAAAGGGCAAAAAAAAAAAAAAAAAAAAAAAAAAAAAAAAAAAAAAAAAAAAAAAAAAAAAAAAAAAAAAAAAAAAAAAAAAAAAAAAAAAAAAAAAAAAAAAAAAAAAAAAAACCAAAAAGGAAGGAGGGCAAAAAAAAAGGAGAAATACAGAAATATGCTGCTCCAACAGAAATATCCAGTTTGTTACAGGGGGGACACAACATCCTGCACAGAACGTGGAGAGAAGCCAGGCTCTCCATGGGAGGAAAGCTCCCTACCTGGCCAGGGCAGAGGCACCCACTRGGCTCTCGCTCATGCCTACCCTGATGCAACAGCAGTGCTGCCATGTTTGCTTTTGGTTCAATGTTTAATSAGATCCAAGAAGCAAATTCCAGATGCAAATAACCTGGGCTCCACTGCTCAGCAAACAGCTCTTAAAGGAACAGCCAACACCGAGGGGCTCTACCACACAAACTAAGGGAGGGGAGCAAAGGGAACAAGGTCTGGCATCGCTGGGGCTCTGCAGTTCAGAGCAGAGCTCAAACACAACAGAGAAAGAGGTGTCAGTCCCTGCAGGTCAGGAATTGCTGTCTGAGCACCCGTGAGGGGTTTGCACACCCCCAGAGGCACCTGGGCTGGCTCAGACTGTTTCATCCTGCACCACTGACTCTCCTGAAGCCTCCTGGCCTTGCTCCTCGGTCACCTCTCTCGGTGCCACAGGGAGGGGTCCCGGTGCTGGCGATCTCCCTACCCCACTGTCCCCCAGCAGCTCAGCCTGCCCAGCCCTGATAAGAGCAGCTCTGGAGGAGTCCCACAGAGCTGCAGCTCCCTGGGCATGCAGCTGCTCCTGCTGCTAGCCCAGCCTGGGCAGGACAGGCTGCCAGGACCCTCTGGTACAACCTAGAGCTTCTTCACCTTCCACCTCCACMATCCCTGCTCATCAGGGCAGGGAAATCAGTGAAATTCAACACAGTGCTCAAAAAATGAAGGCACAATGGAACAGGCATGCACAGGGCGTTTGATGGTGCAGGCACWTGGCATTGAGAGAAGTATCCCTACCTGTCAAGTGTTCCTCTGGAGAAGAAGACTCCTTTCAAAATAAGAACAATACAAAAAAACCCTTACTATTCCTTGACAGGAAAAAAAATCCCAAAAAAACAACTGCTGTCCAACGTGGAGCACTTTTGGATGCTGCCAGTCAGAGAGTTATTTGTATTGGGTGTTTGTTTGCAGGCCAGACACTAATTGGGGCAAAAAATACATCCCAACAAAAGAAAACCSAACCTTAACTTCAACTCAAAGGAATTATTCACATACTTAAAATGCTTCTTTCYTATGAACCGTCTCTAACCTTGGCCCGGTTCCCACAGTCTCTTTGCATGTGCAATTCACRATTCTCACCAAACAAACAAATAAGCTGCACCACATAAGGAAATGTTTTGCAAACATGTAATTTCAACAAAGGAATGAGAAAACATCCCCCAAGAATGAAACTCACTCGTTGTAAATTGCCATCTGCAGCTCAGCTGCACCTCTCAGCCGGCCCAAGAGCAGAGCAGGAGCTCTCACGCACTGCTGAGACCCGGTCCAGCTCACAGGGGATGCTGAGCCCGGCCCAGCACTACCTCAGATCGCTGTCACACACACAGCCCTGCCCCGGAATTAATGCCCAGCGACTTCATTCTCGCTCAGCTTTATCCCACTTCCCTCCCGACTTCACGCCTGCAGCAGAGTGGGAGAGCAGCCGCCAGCAGGCTCTGAATCACCCACGGGGGCTTCCCGGAATGGTTCATCAGCACAGCTGGAGCGGCCGAGAGGAAAGCCTTTGCAGCTGSAAGTGTTAATGTCACCGCAGCAAAGCAGCCTGACAGCAAGCAGGTTCCCTCCGAACGGGGCTGCTTCGTGCACTTCCTCCAGAATATTTGGGGTTACTCCTTTTATTACATAAAAGAGTGGAAAATTCCTGCTTCAAGCAGGGCTGTCACTCCGAAACGACTCCACGCCCAGCCGCTGCGCTGCCTCACAAAAAACACGTTCACTCTCTACACACTCTGCACGCAGGGATTTTTTTTGGATACCCAGCGAGTTTGAGACTCTAAGAAACTGGTTCAAAAGCCCAGGGCAGGTCCCGCGTCCACTCAACCTGCCCTGCCGGCAGCGTGGAAGGCGCAGCGCCCTCCCTGCGATGCCGGGAACTCGGGAGCTGCCACTTCCTCGGTTTGACATTCCCGCACAGCAGCAGCAGCGTGTCCGGGTCTGGCAGAAAACCCCCAGGGACTCTCGCTCCTWACTGCCGCGTCACAAAACCCGAGCGATGCAAAAAGCACCTGGGAAGACAAGACTTCCTAGAGAGCCCYGGCTCTCAGTCTAGGATGGCCCTTYAGGATTTAGGCCCGAAATGCAAAGGCAGAGCTCGGGTTTACATCAGCAGTACAACCTGTCAGCCGCCGCACCCGCCAGCCCCGGCCCCCGMTCCTCCCCGAGCACTGACCGGCGCTCCCGAGCCCCGCAGCTCCGCGGGCCCTCSGCGCTGGGCTCCGGACGGCACGGCCCCGCCACAGCCGAGCAGGTACTGACCTACTTGGGCCGTGAGTCAGCGCAAAGCCCGGGCACGCCCGGAGATCGGAGGCACAAGCCGGGAGCCCCAGCGCAGCCGCGGCCCCCGGGGCTCCGCGCGGCCCTGCCGGGCGCACCCGCCGCACGTACCGGCTCGGAGAACGGCCCCGAGGACRGCCCCGGCTGCCAGGGCGGTGCCGAGTCCCCGCCAGCCCCCGCGGAGCATCGTGCGCCGCACCCCGCCCGGCCCGGCCCGGTTACCTTGGCTGGCCGCCCCGGCAGGCGGCGGCAGCGCC